CCTTAAATGCATAGAGTCCCAAAAATGAATCAATAACTTTTTGCGCGGATACCCGACAACAGTTTTGATATCGATACATTTGGCTGAATGGCAGTGATTCCTTTGTCCATTGACTTATCAAAAATTAACTAAAATAATGACATTTGACTTCAATATTTGTATCTTTCTGACGTTATACCAATTGGCGCGCATTTTTGATAGCGGGTTCATTTACGTACTCTTTTGGAAGTGGATTATTTAGAAATATTTTGGTGTATTCGTTAAACAAACAATATTTTCTAAAGGTAAGGCTCTTATTTATTAATTTGCTAGTACTTTTGTCTATATTCCGTAACTATCATGTGTATGGAGGGCTTATTTCGTGTTGATGCAAAAATGGGACAACATGCACTAATGGTAATAATTACGACATGTATTTAGTACTATGCTTCCTTTATTGGTTTGTTGGTTTTGTTTTGGTGTGGTATGCATGTGGTTTATAATTTTGTTATAGATATGTCATACTAACTAAAGAATTTTTATGTCTATTTTGCATAGTGTACCAAAAATGAATCATTAATATTTTTCAATAAAAACCCTATAAGATATGACTTATAATTTTTTTTAATATTTTTCCCGATTTCCACTCATTTGAAAAATTATAACCCTATTTTTTAAATAAAATTCATTAATTCATGCATTTAAGGGTTAAAGAAGATTGAAATTGACTGCTTCGAGACACAGATGAGTTTTAAAAAGGTGGCTGGCCCCGCGGGAACCACAATTACAGCCATTTTGTTTATGCGAAATGAAAAAAAGAACGTGTAATATTCTTAATTAGTATGCGTTTGGCTGTACCAGATACTAGAACAAAAGACAAAAATTGATAGTCAAAAAGAAATGGCAACGTTTTTATATTTGATTGTCGATTTTTCGTATTCGTTTTTCAATACTGGAAGCCTAAGAGAATGTAAAAAATGAATATTTTTTGGTGGTTTTAGTACGGGCTGTATTGGTTAAGTAGATTTTGAGATGTCCTGGTCACACATAATCAAACACTTGGTCAAACCTAGTTTCGAGAGGAACAGATTTAAACTGTTGTATAGCAATGCTGATTGTTCATATTATGAGTGATCAGCCGGCTATAACTTTCATAGTTTTAAGAATTCAGTCACAAAATTATGTAACCGTATTTTTGAACCTATCAAAAAATCCCACCAAGAAAATGTAAAAGATAAAAAATAGATTTTTTCAAAGATTCACACTAGAACAGTCCTTTAAAATCATTCAAGCGGAACTGTTTTGTATCAAGAAATAAGTGGAGAAATCGAGATATTTTTCTTCTTGATACTATTGAACTTTCCAAAATCTCGACGAATTTTGAACAATTTGTTTAGTGAACGAAACCCCCAGAAATTTGGAGATTAAGGTCTCTCTTTTACACAGGTTGCCCATATGAAGGATCTTCGGTTGCCGTTTCAGTGCACTTTGAATGGTAAGTGCAACATTAATGTAAAAATAATCCAAGTTATACTGCCGTTGACGCATAAACGTTGTATGTCGAATTTTATTGAAAATCCAATTTGGATCAATCTCGCAATGTAATGATCAGACCGTATATGGCACGTTTCATGCCATACTTTTCATTCACCGACAACAAACAATCCTGTATCGAATGTTATGAGATATGTAGTTATGAACAGAAGACTTCAATGCCAAAATTTGTAGTAATTTGTGTTACGAAAATGGTTTTTCTCAGCCCTGTCAATGTCTGAATTTGTTCAATATTTAGGAAGAAACTAATTTTCCCAGTTCTTTCTTAATGAAGTAGCAAGGAACATAAGCGAGAGCAGCGCAAATAGAGACTTTTATCTTCGAAATAGAGACCAGGTAGCTCGTTGACCAAATTTTTCATAAAACTGCGACAAATCTGAGATAAAAAATTAAATATATTTTATTTAGACTGGAACAAAATACGAAATAAAATACAGTACAACAAAGTTCAGCATTATTAATTTTGTCGCGTCAACTAAACGGTGTTTTTTTTTTTTAGAGTGATAGAACTTTTAATTGACATAAAACACATAAAAATTTAAGCTCGAAGTCAAATTTTTTTATTTCAAAGATAATTTTATGACATTTAATGTTTGAAAATAATTTCCAGCATATGTCTATCGCGACTAGCTCCGAGGAATCGGATTCGATCAGTTCAATTTTTAACCACTTTTTCAAGTAATTGCGGATGTATTTCGTTAATAATACGAGTTATGTTTGTTTCCAAAGCGTAGCGTTCTCCGACACTGCCACTTACAGCGCCGATATTTTCTTCTGTACCTACAGTTCTTTGTCTTGTATTTTGGTTTCTCATCGAGTAAAGTAAATGCTTATTCGACG